CGGCCAAATGGCAAGCATTAAATGCTAGTAGCTGTAAAACAAAATATAAAACGATATAGCATAGTATAGTAATAATTCAGTTTCAATAATGTAGTAGAGTATACTATAATAATAATATTCATTATATATAGAATATTGTATTCCATAATATATCATAATAAAAGAGAGCATAGCATAATATCAGAATATGATATAGTTACAATTGCTGGTACAGTAAACAAAGTATAATATAATATACACACATACAGCTGCATGTGTATTGTTTGTATGCACAAAAATACATCTGTGCTTTTGTTGCTCATTTATTTGTTAATTCTGTTATTTGATTGTATTTCCTTGTGTGCTTCTTTATTTAAACATATATGTATCTGCACATACTCACATATACACATATTTTCTCATATGTATGCATGGTATATTGAACATCTCCCTTTCTCCTGCTCTGGCAATCCATGTCTTGTGCAGGTGCTCTGCATCATTCTCCTATGCCATAGGTCCCTTTGCGGTCGCTGGTCTGATCCCTGGATGTTGTAGAGGTTTCAGATGCCCACATTGCCGAAATCTGGGGAAGTTTATTTGCTAGCTCTTAATTCCGGGAAATAGTGGGCCGGCGGGACGCAAGTTATTGTGCAGGCTTGCTTGATCTAACTAAGCAAGTCCCTGCTTGGGGTCTAAGCAGGAAGTGTTCTTTGATCATGCACAGGCGGCAAGGATTGTAGCTGCAAGCGATTGAATATGCATGTCAGTGTCAGATGCCAAATTTCCAGGCTCAGCCGATTCGTTCTTTTTCGGATTTTGAGGAAGCTTATAAATTAGCAAGGATGCCAGGGTTTCTCGCAGTGCGCGAGCCAGACTACAGATGAGAATCTAGCCGGCAGGTCCTTGCTCATGCCAGCTTGTTGCACATCAGACCCAATAAGTCAAGGTTTTGAATCAAGCCTGTCATGTCCCGAAATGCCAGTATCTACAGCCCGTCTTGCCGAGGTTGAAACTGCTGTCAGCCTGCAGCGAGAGCAAAAAGTGTGGATGCATCGCATGGTTCAGTGCTCCCACGGGCCAAGTAAAGATATCATCGTATATATCCCAAAAAGTTTAACCTTTTTCTGCCCTGGCCACTAAGCGGCTAAGGTATTGTTACTAGTACGATGACAATCGTTAGCATTCTGCCAGTAGCTAGGTTGCATGAACTAAACTGCTGACCCCCCGCTACTTGGAGGGATCTCCGCCCACTGATTCCTAAAGCTTTTCTCCAGGAGTGCCTTCTAAAGGTGCCTGACGAGGCGATGCCAATTGAGCTTCAAGCTATTCTCGAGTCGGTGCCGTGGTTATATTATATTACATTAAATTAGATTATATTATATTATCTTATCCTATATTATATTATATTTCATTACATTTTATTATATTATATTATATATTAAGGATTCAGGTTTCAGGGTTTAGGGTGGGTCATGAAGACCTTGAGAGTCCGGCCTGCCATCATGCCCAAGGACCGTGCTGAAGATGGGGGTATTAGAGCCTTTCAGCGTTTAGGGTTTAGGGATTGGGGTTCAGGGTTTGGGGTTTAGGGTTTAGGGTTTAGGGATTGGGGTTTAGGGTTGGGGGTTTAGGGTTTAGGGCCTTTCAGAGCCCCTCCCCCCCCCAGAGTTCCAGGGCTCGGTTCTCTTACGGAGGGTCTGAACTCTGAAACCTGCAACTGGACCCAGGTCCACATTTTCTTGGCCCAGTTGAAGGCGCTCTGTAGTACTTTGTAGAGTGTAGGGTTTTTTTGGTTTCAAGGGCTGCATCCTCATTGGGTCATACACAAAATGTCTACAGTAGTCTACACTGCTTCAACCTTGGTTAGTTGGATTACACTCTCCTGCTGCTATGGAGCAGCAACTGAGGATTTCATCAGAGATCATGATCGACTGCGACGTCAAGGCAATCGAATGCACAGGCATTTCGGTCTCTCCAAGCGATGCCTGGATGTTTGGGTAACCAGGTTGCTTTTGATCATGTCCTACGCTTAGGGCTTTTGTTTTTGAGGGTTTAGGGTAACCGGCTTTCGGAAATCTTTTTTTTGATGAGTTCAGGGTTCTGGTCAACGAGTTGCAAAGCGGGCTCCCTCCTATCAATTCCCAAAGAGCGACCGAGGTAAGCCTTCCTTACGATGTGGCACAACATGCGCTCAGTATCTTCATGCTGGAGCAGGCTGCTGTATTGGGCAAGCAGTTGTAGCAGACTTGTGGCAGTAACAGTTTGTTGAATCCCTGTCCAACAGCTGTTTTGTTAATGCGAGTGCTGCAGGTAGACTAGTGATTCGTCGTGCCAGCTGTACACTATGACGACTACGAATATAGCTGCCATTGCTCTTCGCACTAATCATGGCAGGAGCGCACTACCCTTACAGAAGAGTAACCATACCTACAACCATTTATGACCCCAATTAAAGTATTCATACCTGCCGAGTCCCATGAACCTCCAAGTAGAGCCTCAAAGACGGGACTGACAATCATCATGCGCACAATGAGGCGGCATAAGCCAAATCAATGAGGCAGTAAGCAAAAATAGCCCTAACTAATCAAACATGTCAAACAGAAACATACCAATGTAATTTTGCATAACGGTATTATTGAATACGGCTTATCTGTGTGTATGTATGTACGTATATATATATATATAGCGAGAGTTATAGTTAGATAGGTAAATATGAGTATATAGATAGATAGATAGACAGATAGATAGAGTACATATACACAAACAACTCCTAGACAGATCAACAGCTGCACAAACATCCAAACATGCGACATAATACAACATCTTGAAGGCAAATAACGACGCAAAAAAAATTTATGCAAGCATGCAAAGCATGAAGTACATGCAAACGCACAGGTCACCACAAGACCATCAATTCAGGCTTGCACAAAAAAGGCTTGAAACACCTGCTGCTACACCACTGCGACGTTTTCGTAAGAAAAAGGTAGCTTAGAGAAGCGAGGAAAGGGAAATCAGTGTCTTGCAGCTGCCGGTTGCATGTCGATGAGGTTTTGATGCTTCCATCTTCCGTGAGAAAGAATGACAAGATTTCGAGCAAGCAAGATGTAGCTCGTGTACACTCTCCCGTCTCGGAAATAGAACAGACTCTGAACTTAGAGCTTCATGCCGCCCAGCAACGGCTGACATGTTTTGCTTGCAGGTTTGGCTTAGATCTCTTAGGCAGGGTTCAAAGGGGGACGGTATAACGGTAAATAATAGAATCCATGAAGCCTGACATACTGCCTCGAGTCCTCAGGGCACTGCATTCCACCTTGAACTTGAAACCGATTCCATCGCAGGCCTCAGCGCACCATTTTAAAGTGCCGGAAGACGAGTTGAAGGCGATGGAGGCGGAGGCAGCGGACGAGATTCAGATCATGAACGCTCCTGGACCTGTTTCGTCTGCCTGTCTTGCTTTTTTGTGTGTATGTGATTTAGACAATGATGATCTGGAGCATCGAACAGTTAAAACTTTCAGGCGCTAAGTGTGGCTTCAACTTTTGGACTCTACATGCTGGAGCTGAGGTTGGAGAGGATCCCAACCGCTATGTGGGTACCATTCGGAGGTGGGATTCTGAACGAGGCTTCGGCTTCATCGTGCAGCCGCAGGCAGAGGAGGAGACCGGGGAGGAGGAACACAAGGACCGGCTTGGGGTTACGGCTGAACCCTGGTAGGGGAGATGAGCTGTACACCAGAGGGTTTAAACCGGCGGCAGGTCAGGTAGTTGCTGTCTTGGTAAACTGGTAAGCTCCCTATTCGGGCTTCATGTTCTCTTAGCCCTGTTATGCGCTATCTTGCGCTGCAGTCTGAGTGCCAAAGTCAACTGGCAACCTGCTCGCAAGCAGCACATCTTGTCCTGGTGTCGTTGGCACTGTGTTGAGGAACATGTCGCCCGCCCAGCTGGCCCACAGGCTGGCTGGGCATCATAGCAAAGCCTGCAAAACCAGAAGATTGGCCTAGCTGCCGGGATATCAACCTGCACGGGCTAAGGGTTAAAAAGGTGAACACGGTGCAGCGACGGCCTCCTTCTACGATGTTTCACCCGAGTTTTGCACCCCCAAGTCTTCTCAGAGGGCTCTGGAGCCTGGCGCCAAAGGTGTCAAAGTCTAATATAGGGGCCCATTATACTATAGTTATAATAAGGAACCCCCAAAAGAATATAGGTAATTATTGAGGCCCCTATATTACCCAGAGATCCAAATCCACGTTTTGACTGTTTGAGGGCCCTCAGGTTGGGATACTATACAAACCTGAGCAACGAGTGATACTCTTCCTGCAGGTTTCCCTATCATCAGCGCATATTGTGTATAAGACACACCAAAACCTTACTTATTTAAATATAAAGGCCCCTATTTTGGCTGAAGAGGATATCTTCGTCCACCGCACCAACCTCATGGGCTCTGCTCCTGGTGTGCACATCGACCTCCAGGAAGGGAGCAAGGTGGGCCTCTGGTCTTTGCATGGGCCTTTTGCGGAGTTAAGAGGTTCAGGGCTTTACCACGGTTTAAGGGTTCAAGATGGTTCAAGATAGTTTAGGGGTTCAGGGAGTGTAAGGTCCAGAATGACTGAATCAAGGGCGGATCCGACAACTTTCAGGAGAAGTGGTTTCCTGGTGTGGACATAGGGGTCGTATTCTATGGGCATGAAGGCCCGTAATTGCCGGAACATGGAATGCCAAACAGGGATTCCAGTGTCCCCTAAGCGCGAAGCCCTGAACAGCTGTACCCAGGCCCACACCTGCAACGCCATCCGGCATCATCGCTGACTGGCCAGCTAAATATAAGAAACTATAAACCTTAATTAAATAAATCCTAAATCCTATACCCTAGAAGCCGCCTCAGGTGTCCTACTTCCTTGGCATGCAGGATTGCAAAGCACGGGCTCTTCAAGCCGCGATGATCGACGACGAGTTCTACGTCCACCAAATCCATCTCCAGAAGAAGTCCTCCAAGAGTAAAAACCTGTCACCGAAGGAGGGGTTCGTTGAGTTTCAGTGGTGGGGAGGTGGTGAGGGTTTTTTCGATTTAGGGGTTGAGGTAAAGTTTAGGGTGATTCTAAGTCCTTCGGAGATGGTGTAGCTCATCCGGGGGTTCTGAAAGTCGGAGACTCCCAATCCAAAAAACGTTAGAACTGGGCAGCCTAAACCCCACAGCCGACACCTCAAAAAGTCTCGAGGAGAAGCGGCAGGCCAGGATTTTGGAGATCGCGGAGCAGGAGACACCAGTGCTTTCAATAGCCGGACCCCGAAAACACCAGCCTTGTGGGTTTAGGATTTTTAGGGGCCTGGGGTTTAGGCCTAACCACCAGAGCCCCAAGCGCCGTCAGGGCTTAAACCCGTGAGCCTTGGTGAACCCAAACCTCGAAATCCTGAACCCTTCGGTCATAGCTTGACAATCAAGTCAATCAGGAGACGCATGAGGTGTCCAAGTACTTCTTGAGGCAGATCGGCAGCGCTGCAATTCAAGACATGGTGCACGAAAGGAGCCGGATTTGGGGGGGGGGGGGGGGCGGGCGAGGGCTTAGCATTGGAGACCCTAAACCCTAAACCGTTGGGAGTGCTTGTAAAGCTGTGAGTTTGTGCGCTGCTGCTAATGTCTCAGGGTCGGTGACACGTGTCGGCCCCAAGCCAGTGAGCTTTTGCCCGGTACCAGGAACCTCGCCTAGGCAAGTTTGAGAGTGAGTGCTGAAACCGTGGCCACTGGATTGGGCTTAACATCTAGAGGTTCTCTTGAACCGGCCCTGGAGACGAATCACAGCAGTAACAGGAGCAAATGCAACAGAGCACCAACCCGGACGGTTGAAATAGTCTATTGACTCCCTGGTTCTTACTTGGGAATGGGGAAATGGGTTCTAGGGGCTGCTCTCAGGGACTGCTACAAAGCATCCATTCCCGCATTCCCTCCTAAGAACCAGGGAGTTGAGGAGGCTACATCGGTAACTGTCAAAATCATGGCCCCTTTCCCTATATAGTTCTATGCTCTTAATTCGACACCCTATACTTTGGGCAGGGGAACCCCTATATATTACTTCCACTCTTGATACTGCCCCCTATAGAGTTTGGGAGCCCGAAAGAGAGCCTAATTTGGACCTCCACACGCACCACGCACCTTGCAACCCCGCACCCTCCAGCTGCTTGGAGGATCTCTGAGACCCGACAGCAATGAAACCCTAAAGCCTCAAAGCCCGGGATATAATAAGTAGTGATATCGCCCTACAGTCCTACAATATCAACTTGTTATACTGTAACCCGATCGCTGTTCTATTTATTCCGGCATTTAGGCCCCGATGTTTCGGATTGAAAGGTCCCCCATCCTCCGCATTGCCAAAGCCGAAGCCCTGCTCGAACCCCTAAACGCTAGACCGCCATGCCAGCCTTGTGCGAGTGCGTGAGTCGAAACCCTAGACCCTAGACTTTGGGACCCGACTGTGACCTGGAAGCTTGCTACATTCCTAGACCCGACCATGGACCCCAGGAGGCAGGACTTCGAATCCTTTTTTCGCTGTTGGGGATTGCTCCGCTTCAACAATGCGGCTCGTCTTGATGTCAGCTTGGGGTGCTCCGTTCAGGTTCTAGGGCCTTCCAGGGCTGAGGTTCTAATAGTTCTATATGACATGGGGCTGATGTTCTGATCCGTGGGGCTTTCAGACGTTGATGATTTGAGAGAAAGCTCGAACGCATGGGACGACACGATCTATCGAAGTCTTGCGGCGAAGAAGAGTCGTGGTTTCGTGCAGTAGGATTTGGATTTCCGGCTGGGGTTTGCTTGGATACAAACTTTGGGATTTAGGAGTTTAGGGCTTAGGGTTCATCGTGGCGTTATTTGGGCTTTTCTCTCGGCTAAGTGGGGGGAGTGGGGGGGGACAATTTCGGAAAGAATGGGTCCCGAGATTAGAGCCTTCTATATAATCCCCTTGTTCTTGCTGCCTCGGGCGTGTATAAACTGTTCGTTCCTCGTTGTGTTTGTATGGGGGGGTGGGGGGGGGGGGGGGGNNGGGGGGGGGGGGTGAGAATTCTTGCAGAATTTGTCGGAGTTGTACTATAGGAGCCGATGAGGCTCCTTCAGGGCAGCTCTGCTCTACTAAACCCTAAACCCTCGTGTGTCCTATCATGTCCTATCCAGGTCAAGCGCGACGATGCCTTCTGGAAGAAGGAGCCCCTCGGCTCCGCGTGATCGAATCTTCAGGTCGACTTTGTTCACGAGTAGAGTAGGGCTGAGTAAGGATCAAAGTGAGAGATGGCATCCGTATATCCTGAACCCTAAACCCTTCTCTCCTCGGAGGTAGTGATGCAACAACCCTAAACCCTTTCTGTTCTGTTTACTTTATCGGAAGTCGCCGCTGTTCGTGGAGTCCGGGGATAAGCCAAGCCCAGCTTACGTGTTGCGTTTTGTGCCGTCGCTCTTGACAGGTGTGACGTCAACTTGAGCCTTTTGCATAGGAATCTACAGGAAGATGTGCGATGTAGAATCGAACTTGGCAATGCTATGCTAGCAGCTAGCAAGACTGATGACAGCGGAGACAGCAATACTCCAGATCCATAACTTTCGGATCCTTACAAGCCCTAAACAGCCCTTACCCGAAATCCGGAAGTGCGCCTGCCAAGGATTGAGCGCAGGGTCGACATCTTCGTGGAGCAAGAGAGCACGCCCTTGCAGAAAAAGGATTTCGACTTCCGTGTGCGGAGATTCCTGACCGAGTTTTGCATGAGGACCGGGAGTTCTTATCCGAGCGCTGCTAAACCCTAAACCCTAAAACCCTAAACCCTAAACCCTTATAATCTGATAGCCTGAAAGACCATGGCCTTGCGAGATCTGTGAATCAGACCGGCAACTTGTTGATGTTTCATGGCACAGCCTCGGCATGGATCTTCATTGCTACGTGTGCGTATATTCTTTGGGGATATCGAGACTATTTGGATGATCATGGGACTTAGTAAGTCAGGTGTCAGTATACTTGGACTCATCATAACCTTAATCGCGAAGTCCCATGATCCTTTAAGTATACTTTCGAGCAAGTCAGCCCTAGAAGCCAGACCGCAACCAATGGAGCGAGGCTCGCTGAAATCGCAATGTGAGAACCCCCCGAGGCTGATAAGGGAATGAATTATCAAAGGTTCAGGGTCTACCATGAAATCAACTAAGGGGTTTAAGGACTATCAGGAGAACAGAAGAAGACACGGTTCACGTAGGGTTTAGAGTCTGCTTGATACATGACCCTCATGCGAATCTCGCCTGTGTGTGAACTCTACCTAAAGCCTCAACCCTGATACCTGAACCATCCTGACGCCTAAACCCCATGAGCCCCAAAACCTAAACCCCGAACCATAAACCCCTAAACCCTGAACCCAAGCCTGAACCTCTAAGTCCTAATCATTCCGGCGCAGGAGAAACGTGATCCGCGTCAGTGAAGCTCTTGCCATGGTCAGTGCCTGGAGCTATCAGAGGGTTTAGGGTTCAGGAAAGCGTAGGCTTTTGGGGGTTTAGGGTTTAGTAGGGGTTTATATTAAAAGTTTGCAGTTGAAGGGTCTGGAGAGGCTCTATCCGGAAACTTCGCACACACAGTAGCAGGCCCGTGGGGGTTTCGAAAGTTCGGGCAGTCAGTCGTCTTTCGATCTTGCCGCCGGGCTACCCTCACGCCTGCTCGACTCCACAAACACATCCCCGAATTCTACAACTCCCTGAACACCACATTGAATATAAGCTTGATGCCCACTACACCAGGTAAGAGCATCTCGGGAAAGAAGAGGGAGGACATCCAGACTTGGCCTGCCTATGTGGTTCCCATGCTGCACTGGCGTGGTGGAGTGAGGAATTCGGTGATTGATGGCTAGGACTAGGAAGATGTGACTGCGTCAAGATGCACCTTACTACGACGCTTTGGTTCAGGAGCCCGAGATTTCACACATGTTGAACACACGCTGACCAGAAAGAATCCGTCCAATCCGAATCCAGCGCCGAAGTGTTGACCGCCGAGCTTGAATCACTACCTCCTGCCCCTTATCCATAAAATGAACGGCTTAGTTGCCAAGGCCATGACTTTTTAAGCAGGAGCGTGCTAGCATTAATAGTACTAAGAGGAAGAAGGACGTTGCCAACAATGGTACTGAAAGCAGCGCCACCGCCATCACCGCCACCAGCAACCACCACCACCACCACCACCACCACCACCACAACCACAACCACAACCACAACCACAACCACAACCACAACCGCAACCGCAACCGCAACCGCAACCACAACCACAACCACAACCACAACAACAGCAGCAACAACAACACAAACAAAAAAGCAAAGCAACAGCGACCACAACACACCAGCAACAGCAGTCAATGCAGCCTACATGGTGGCATCACAGCGAAAGTCAGTTTTCAACTTCTGGAAAGTCAGCTGTAGTTACGCATTGGACTCTACCAACCCTTGCTGCCGTGCTTCAGGGCTCCATCACTTGTGATCCTGGGCAAACCGGAGCATACCCGAAGGCATGACCACATCAGTTGAACTGCATCGCAAGGCTACGCTGCTTCGCAAGTTCGATCCCGAAGTGAACGCCTTCATTACAAGTCGGGAGAGTCAGAAGAATTCGAAGGCGGATGCTGACGACACCATCAAGGCACTGGGTGTGGGGTATTTTTTTGTTTCAAGGACTGTTCAAGTCCCTTTTCCGGCGAAGGCAAGCTTGTTGGAAGCAGGCGATGGCATTGGCTTCTTGATGGACCAAGAATCAAGAGTCCCAGCATGTTGTGGATGTTTGTCGATGTTGCTTGAGACGAGGGATTCAGTCATGCTTGCTCAGATGGTCCAACTGTTGAACGTTCTAGGTTTTGCCAAGTCTGTAGCATCTAAACAGCAGCCATTTGCCGGCAGTTCCGCAGATGCTGGTCTTTCTCACTACTTGGATTAACGTGCTTGCGCATGTATCCGGATATCGAGCAGGATGAAGATGCCGAGCCGGAGGAGGAGGACAGCGGAAGTGACTCCGAAGACGTGGGTTCACTCAGCGACACGCTGGACATGTACCCCTGCTGCAATTTATGATGTATTTGTTATTTTTTAGTGTGGATCTCGGATCACGACACCGTGTGCGGGTTAGAGAGCTAGCTGTATGTAATGTGCGTGATGCACGTGACATAAGAGATTTATGTAGTGAAGTGTATGTAGTGATGGCCAGGTATGCATTGCATTTTATGTATGCAATGTATGCAGTGAGGTGTGGTGTGGTAGGTGTGGTGTGGTTTGGTCAGGTGAAGTGCAGTCCTAATGGTGATGGTGCTGTTAAAGATGGTACTGGTCATAGGGAGAATGGTAATACTCGTATTGGTGAGAAGGGATGTGGCAATGTTAACGACGACAATAGAAAGTGCAAGGGTAACAGCAAGGATAAGAGTACAGGTAAGGGTTGGCATCGTATGTTTGACCAGTGTTGAATCCGTGTTCTGCCAGCGACAGCCACGAACCAACCGTGCTGCCTCATGATCATGGCGATGATGATGGTGATGATGATGATGCTGCTGATGATGATGATGACGTGTTGCAGGCCGCGCAGTAGCGAAGACGAAAAGTTATTAGCTGTTACGCAAGATTGTTTATCTTGGACGGGCCGTCCTGCCAAGACAACGACACAAATCACAGCTTCGGGCCTTACGGGTCCAGTTCAACCTGTACTTAACCTAACCCATTCCTAAACCCTACAGCTTTTTCCAAGTTAGGGTTATTGTGCCGCTATTACATAATCCTAGTTCCGTTGCTGACTGCAAATCCGAGAGTCAACTAATCCTGACGCCATTTAGCCTCTAACCGAGCCCTCCCCGACCTGACGGCCTTCAAACTGCTGTAGGTACAGCCCGCCGGCGGCACAACCCGAGAAACTCGAAGAAGCGATACCCGAAGCCGAAGAGGCTTCGGGATTCGCCTTCCAGTGAGATGATTCATTGGAGTCCAAAGAGGATTTACAAGGGCTACAAAAGATTAGGGGTCATCTTAGGGAATCAGAAGCCAACCACTTTTAAAGCTCCTCTTGGCCTCCAATAGCCAGATTTTTGCAGCCAGCAAAGGACAAAAAAGGTGGGCTTTCTGCATGCCAACCAAATCATGGAGTAGGCACTTATGAGACTTCCAACGTACAGTCTGCCTGTTCGCACCCCTTGGCACCCAAAGGCCATGGCATTTTCCAAGACGATGCATCAGACCATGGAACATAGTTGTTTAGAGCTTGGGGTCTAGATTATCGCCAAAGTTTGAAGTTTATGGGCGAAACCCGGCCCGGCCAACACTTCGACTCTGGGGGGTGTGGGTTTAGGGGCTTAGTGTATATTTAGGGTTTAGGGTTGAGGGTTATAGGCTGTATGGAGGTTGTTCTCAAAATCTTCCGTGGGCTGCCTCCCGGGCGATGGAACGAAAGCCACGGTTATCCAACATGCGCACTGAACAGATCTAAGGCACTAATCAAACTAATCATGTTACCAACTTTTCTGATCAAAATCATTGAGAGCTACTACCAGCGTTAGGAGTCCCAGACCTTTCAAGCATCCCTTTATTGTGAAGGAATATGCCTGAAGCTTTATTTAGTCGGGTCCCATATATGTATATATATACACACATAGATATGTATGTATATATGTATAAGTATAAGTATAAGTATATGTATATGTATATGTATATGTATATGTTTTTGTATATGTATATGTATATTTGTGTATATATATATGTACATATATGCGTTAGTGTTCTTAAGCGGTATTGATTTTTGTGGGATTCCTCACGACTGAGGCCAGGGAGGAGCTCCAGGTCAGTTCTGACCATGATCTCCAGTGGCTCAGCGACATCGATACGGAAGGCCCGGCGGAGCTTTGTGTTGTGGGGGGTTGGAGCCTAAAGTTCAGGGTTCAAGGCTACGGGATATATGATCCAGGGCATGAGTCTTAAGGTTTCTGTGTTGGGGAAAGGCATTAACGGTGCTTGCTTCAGGGCGTGTTTCCAATCAGAGTTGTTTATGATGTCGGTGTCTGGAGGGTCAAGCGATTCGGGATGAGTTGCCCGAGGTTTCGAGGTCCTGCCTCTTGCCTATTTCGGGCTCAGCATGCAGAGCTTCGTATTTGGGCTTCGTCTGCATGGGCCTGATGGTGAGATTCCACTCCAGTGTTCTTTCCGTCGCTCGCGTGACGGTCCTAGTCTGTCACGGCCTACTATGCATCGATGCGAGAGAAGCCTCTGTTGGAGCGGGGGTTTGGAAACCCGATGTCGCTGTTGGCAATTACCCTGTGCGCGGAGGTGCTCGCAACGATGCTCTCGCGATAGTCCCGTTTATTCAAACGGTGCGTCTTGCTTAGCCTGCAGCCTGAAGTGCACGATATGGCTACGCTGAAAGCAGCCAGACTGATAAATATGTTCTCATGGTGCAGCAGGTCTTACAGCATGGTAGACAGACGCTTATAATGTGTAGCTGAGGGGCTTCCAGGAGTCGCTACCTCTAGTTTAGCTTCAATGATACACAAGCAACCAACTAGTGTAGATGTACCTTCTTCACACCATCATGAGCACCATGAGCACCACCAGCACCACCATCATCAGCATCACCATCATCAACAGCATCACCAACAGCATGGTCATAATGAGTCATAATGTTAATAGTTAACCGTCATCATCGCTCCCTCATGCCTAAAAAGTGTCGCTAGCCACTAGTGTCCCTGGAGCCACAAGCATCCACAGCCCACGCCCGTCAGATGCCGGTCTCTGCCCATTGGAGAAGTGGACTCCCGTCCCACAGCCAGACGACAAAGCAGCGTGCTTAGAGAGGGCTTAGGGTTTAGGGTTTCGAGGTAGTGGCACCAGATCATCGTCATGGAGCTTCAGTTTCAGAAACAGGATGTTTACACCAGCCTAAGCAGTCCCCAGAGTATCCTGGTCCAAGCGTTCGCATAAAAAGCTCTGCCGTTTGCTCAGCAAGTCGTTCTCAACCTTAGCTTACGTGAACTGCTAGAATAGTAGGACCATGGAAAAGCACCTAAACATGAACTATTGGAGCCAATCCCCTCGTGAGGATATTACCTCATGAAGCTTATGTTTAGCTGCTATGGGGGCTCTTACAATATCATGTCAGAGACCCCACCTCCCGAATCCTGTGGACTGACATGTTGCGAGAGAAACACTTCGTGAGTTCCTGGGTTAGCTCGCTAAACCCACGGATACTGGTGGGGACCCCTTGTGAGGGGGTCACCCACAGGTAGGCGGCTCGAATGGGATCCTGGATCTGCATTGAAACCATAGGGAGCAGGCACAGGAAGACCTGAGGATTTCGGGACAAATAAAGAAGCAAACACAGGCAAACGCAGAGTGGCATTGCAAAGAGTGCTTTCAGGACCACGAGATCCGAATTATGACAACCGCATGTGGAGATAGTCGACTACTGATTCTCTCGTGGCCCCTCAACATGGACTTGCCATGGCTCGGCGGCCGAGAACGAAGTTCAGCTAGGAAGCTGTGGGATCATGTGTGAATCGCGATCATGGTGTACAAGAAGCAGTAACAAATTCTAGCCTGAAGTCCTGAATGTTGCCGCGAGTCCTGATTTCGCCCGCAGTGTGGGCCCAGAGAGATGTGGATAGACTGCCACACATGCTTAGGACACACTTCTAGCGTCCGGTGACCGAGGCTCCGTTTCTGTTTGGGCTCGGGATTAAGGCAATTGCCTGGCTTGGGGAACAGGAGGTCATTGTTTTGCGACAGAGCATCGGACCCCAATCTGCCAGCACTGATTCTTGGGTGCGATGGCCCGGACCTTCGCGCAGACGGTGGACGTGGTGAGGCAGTCGCCGCTCATGATGCTTGGCAAATCTTGGCTGACTGTCTCGACAATGTGTCTGCCGCTTATGGTGATGATGAAGATGATCGTAGTGGTTGTGTCGATTGTGAGGGCCCCACAAGCAAGCAATAACTACATCATCATGATGATGTTGGTGATGAAGAAGATGAATTTGGCGATGCTGATGATGATGATGATGATTATGACGATGCTGATGAAGAGGTCGATTGTGATGATGATGAGGAGGAGGAGGAGGATGATGATGATGATGCTGCTGCTGCTGATGATGATGATGATGATGCGGATGATGGCGCTGATGAAGAGGTCGATTGTTATGATGGTGATGATGATGATGATAACGATGAGGATGAGGATGATGAGGAGGAGGAGGATGACGATTCTGATGAAGAGATCTATTGCGATGGTGATGATGATGAATATGATGATGAGGATGATGATGATGGTGATGATGATGTTGAAGATGACCACGAATAGGATGACGATGGTGCTGATGATCATCATCACAATCACGATGATGATGCAGGTGAAATTGATTTCGATGATGACATTGATGGCAATGATGATGAATGTGAGGAAGAAGAAGATGATGATGGTCATGATGATCATGATGATCTCGAAGAGGATGACGGTTATTATGGTGTTGATCATGTTGTTGTTGTTGTTGATGATGATGATGTTGAAGGGTGGTGGTGGTGGTGGTGGTGGTGGTGGCGGTGGTGGTGGTGGTGGCGTCGGTGATGGTGATGGCGATGGTTGTGGCGACGCTAGTGACAGAGGTGATTATGCGACTGCTACTGCTCCTCCTCCTGCTGCTGCCGCTAATCTTGCTTCTTCAGATCTGATGCTGATATGTTACAGTAGTGACAGTGCTAGCTACTAGCACTGCTGATATTGCTCCTGCCATGGTCCGTTACGAGCTTAAGTGTCCTAGAGCCCTTGACAGTGCGACTGGGTTGCTCCAGCGGTCCAGCATGAAGAGAGGGCGTGAGCTTAACAAGCAGCACCGGCAGCAGGAGGTTGCCTCCTTTGTCGCGCTGGTGCGTAAGCCCTATGCACCCGTGCAAGAAAGCATTTTCTGAATGTCGGAGTTTTAAATAAACACGACCACAGAACACAACAAGTAACTTTCATGGTCTCAGGCATTTGATGTGTACTCTTCGCGCAGAAGCGACATATCCATGGCTTTCTACTGTGCCACTATTTTGCCTGGCCCAGT